TCACTAAAAGACATTTTGATTAATCATGCCCTTTCTCTACAACATGATCACTAGAAGATATTTTGATTACTTCATTAACTCATCATACCATTTCTCTACCAATATAACAATATCACTAGAAGACGTTTTGATTAATTCATGCCACATCTCTGCAAATATAACAAGATCACTAGAAGATATTTTGATTACTTCACTAACTCATACCATTTCTCTACCAATATAACAAGATCACTAGAAGATGTTTTGATTACTTCATTATCTCGTACCATTTCTCTACCAATATAACAAGATCACTAGAAGATATTTTGATTACTTCATTAACTCATACCATTTCTCTACCAATATAACAAGAACACTAGAAGATATTTTGATTACTTCATTAACTCATACCATTTCTCTACCAATATATAACAAGATCACTAGAAGACATTTTGATTACTTCATTAACTCATACCATTTCTCTACAGATATAACAATATCACTAGAAGACATTTTGATTAATTCATACCATTTCTCTACCAATATAACAAGATCACTAGAAGACATTTTGATTACTTCATTAACTCATACCATTTTTCTACAGAAATTACAATATCACTAGAAGACATTTTGATTAATTCATGCCACTTCTCTGCAAATATAACAATATCACTAGAAGACATTTTGATTACATCATTAACTCATACCATTTCTCTACCAATATAACAAGATCACTAGAAGACATTTTGATTACTTCATTCACTCATACCATTTCTCTACCAATATAACAAGATCACCAGAAGATATTTTGATTACTTCATTAACTCATACCATTTCTCTACCAATATAACTAGAAGACATTTTGATTAATTCATGCCACATCTCTGCAAATATAACAAGATCACTAGAAGATATTTTGATTACTTCACTAACTCATACCATTTCTCTACCAATTAAACAAGATCACTAGAAGATATTTTGATTACTTCATTAACTCGTACCATTTCTCTACCAATATAACAAGTTCACTAGAAGATATTTTGATTACTTCATTAACTCATACCATTTCTCTACCAATATAACAAGATCACTAGAAGACATTTTGATTACTTCATTAACTCATACCATTTCTCTACAGATATAACAATATCACTAGAAGACATTTTGATTAATTCATACCATTTCTCTACCAATATAACAAGATCACTAGAAGACATTTTGATTACTTCATTAACTCATACCATTTTTCTACAGAAATTACAATATCACTAGAAGACATTTTGATTAATTCATGCCACTTCTCTGCAAATATAACAATATCACTAGAAGACATTTTGATTACATCATTAACTCATACCATTTCTCTACCAATATAACAAGATCACTAGAAGACGTTTTGATTACTTCATTAACTCATACCATTTCTCTACCAATATAACAAGATCACTAGAAGATATTTTGATTACTTCATAAACTCATACCATTTCTCTACTCATATTACAATATCACTAGAAGACATTTTGATTAATTCATGCCACTTCTCTGCAAATATAACAATATCACTAGAAGACGTTTTGATTACTTCATTAACTCATACCATTTCTCTACAGATATAACAATATCACTAGAAGACATTTTGATTACTTCATCAACACGCAACGAATAAATATAATTGTAAAACAGTAAAATATTATCAAAGTACCCCAAAAAACATAGATTGGAACAATGGTTAGCGGGGAAAGCTTGTATTCAGAATTTAATTTTTAATGTTGAACTTATTGACTGCTAGATATTTTATTTTGTCAAGCTCAAACTTGGGTAATTAAATCAGCAAATCAACATTAAAAATTAACAAATCAGCATTAAAAATTTGATATATATATTTTTTATATTATATATATAATATATATATTACATATATATATTTTTTTTTTAATATATATATATATATTATATATATATATATATTTTTTAATATTATATTTTTTAATATATTATATATATACCAAGTTTGAGCTTGGCAAAATAAAATACCTAGCAGTCAAGTTCCACGATAGGTACCAATAGAGGCTTCGACTGTGTCTAACTCCCAAAAAAAATTTCCTGGAAAACATTACATCTATTTAATAAAGAATTAAACATATGAATTATATACTGAAATATACCTGCTTCTAGACGCCAAATGAAAATTTCAGATTTTTCTCCAACCGATATGAGGTATGGACTCATTGCACAAACACAGTACACTGAAGACGAATAAGCTTGCAATCGCTGCACTACTTCAACAGATCCTGAAAGCTTGTCATAACTATTTTCTGAAATTGATAATTGTAGAAAACCAAATTTTCATATTTTAGAAAAGTACTTTTCTAAGAAATATTGCAAAAAAAAAAAATTTACAAATAGAAAATGGCCTTATTAAATGCCCATAACATTATCCAGGGACCATATATGTAAGTCATATATATATATGTAAGTCAAAACAGAAGGTTACATTTTATGAATAAGCCAAAAATCATACCTACAATAAATTAATTTGTATCAATCATTGGTAGATTTACTTCTTCACATCTATAAATGACCTACTGGGAAAAATTACATTATATTACTGGTTGGCAATGTGAGGCAGAAAAGCACAATAAAAACTCTTTAGGATAGAATAAGCCATTTAAACTATCAAAGTCATAGAATTTTGTACTAAATCCGGCTCATTAGTTTCTTCTGACTGATACTCCAATTTGTCAGTCATCGATATTCAAAGGTACGGTTTAATATTTTTGTCTAGTTCTTTTCACTTAATGGAGAAAACTTCGCAAATTCCGAACCATTGAAAAATACACAGTAGTGTATGATTTAAATTTCATTTTAATTAGTTCTTGAAACGCATTTCTTAGGATAATCTTCCAAATAATCTGTTATACTGTTAGTATCTTTTAGAGATTTATTTACTAGTGGTACTTTTTTCAAAATTTGCGACTAGTTTGAAGTGGTATTTTTTCGGTGGTAGGTTTCAGTCATTTCAATGGTTCGGAATTTGCGAAGTTTTCTGCATTAACCTAACCTCCACGGAGTGTCCTGGCTCCTCTAGGTTTCGATCCACTCTTTAAATGTAAATACTTGTTTCTGCGGAGTGTTGGAAAACTGATGTATCACTGCTATCAATTTTTCGCCATAGGCAAATGAAATATCTAAAAATAACATCTTATAAAAATAGTTCTCAAAAATGCAAAATTTTCAAAAGTAACTCAAATGTCTCTAAAAAAAATCAAATGCTTCCAGTTTCTAAGATAAATCTTACACATGCTTCTAATCTAACTGAAAAAAAACCACAATACTATGATTTAGTGATAGGTAGATCAGATGGAACTCATCTCTTTCAGATCTGCGACCATGCGATATTAAAGCATTCTAAATCTTTTTAAGTAAAGAAACGCATGACTTAAGGTACTACTGATTTGGAAAAATTTGGAAAAAAAACGTACTACTGATTTGGAAAAAATCGTATAATGAAAAAAATTGCAGTTTAGTTATAGTAAAATATTACCAGTACGTTAAGTAATTTTTTTGAAGTTATTTGATAGTTAAAAGTGGGGATTGTTAAATTTTAAAAGAATGGTTTATAATATCAATAACGCCGATGCTATTAATGGAAAATTATATGTTAAATAGATATTAAATACTCATACGAGAACCAAATCGGATATTACAAATATTTTTTTTTTTTTTTTTGAATTTAATTTTCTCTATTTTTAGCTATCATTTTGAAAAATAACTTCAAAAAATTACTTAACGCACTGGTAACATTTTACTATAACTAAACTGCCGTAATCGATACTACTTGCAATATAGTACATCCATCTGTAGCAGTAATTGTATTCTTAATACACACTAATTAATTGATAAATGATTGTCGAGATAAGTCAACCCGTATATATTACATTTTATTTCTTCGAAAACACACATTTGATGTTGTGAAACTAACAGTCCATTGTGATCCTCCTTATAAGAATCGATCATGCAACCATTACCTAAAATAATATGTAGGAAAATGTTAGCATGCGAGAGAACTTAATAAGGCAACAAATTTAGAAGCTGAAATTAAAAAATCCCTTAAATATATAAATGAAGATAATCTAGTAAATCATTTTAGTGAACTGATCTTCTGCTGTCTAGAAATTCTTCAAAGGAAAATAAAAACTTGCTGGCTAGAAGAAAAGGGCAGTCAACATCTTTATACCTCGTTTTATAGTTAACACCAGAGCACATAATGATTTCATTAACTTCCTGTGAAAAAAAAGACAAATGTAAAGATAATTAATACATAATAAATTGATATGTGTGAAAGTAATGCTTGCGACCATCTAATAATAGGGATTACAAGAAAATCAAGTCGTATAGCAAAGTCGTTTATTATATGGAAAAAAAATTTTATAGATAGAAGCTTAAACGTATATACATATATTAAATTAGAAAAAGGTTTATAAAATCCGATCAGAAATTTTATTGAGAGTCAGCAGAATATGAGATATGTTTGTCAGATATGTTTGAACAATGACGTGAACTTCTTTCTATAAGTAAATAACAATAACAGTAATAGTAAACAACAAGTTACTTTATTTAACTACTGCTATAATCTGTAATTAGATTTATGTTGCATGGGACTATCCACGCCTTCCTGCAGCTGTTGCTGAAAGCAATCGTTGGCCAGAGTAAGTCCTCTAATCCTCTGCGATATATGTTGTACTTTCATTTTATTTATGATTATTCATTACTTTCAGTTAATAACGTAACATACTCTTCTGAGAATGACTGTTTTCATGGCTATAATTGAAGTTTAAGGCATGTACAAATTAGATCTCTAAAGCAATAATTTAGATGTTGTGTCGCTTGATTCCTAAATACAAACATAGCAGAATCATTCTTGATCATTAAATAATGCTGTCTAACTCAGTTTATTACTTAACATTTATTAGCACACAGTTTAATAGCAGACTTTGTGGTCATTTTGATTACTTCATTTTTCATTTATTCTCTGTGTAATAAACTAGTGAATCACGTATCCATGCGCCAATGTATAGAGCATTTCGTAAAATATTCACCATAAAGCCCATTAAATCGAAAAGCATCCTTTTGGTGGTTAAATTCATTTCAGCAATTGTTGTTACACATATTTCACGCGCCTCGTAAATTTTGTTTATCTGCCTTTCCAATTTTGCTATCTAAAATTATCTGTATCATAAAATTAGTTGATGATAAGCCATGTCGAGAGTAGAATGATGCGATGATACTTTACTTTTATTTGACGACTCTGTTCATTTCCTTGAAATCAGGATGAAGCAGCAGAAATGGCTTTCTAGGCATTCTTTCTTTTGTTCTAAATCATTATAGATCCTTTTCGAACGCAACTAGACTGTTTTCTGCATTTTTTAATCTTTCAAGTGCGCATCAGTAAAATTTTCAAAGCTTTAGTTGCACTTAAACCACAATCAGTTAAAAAGTGTCTATTATTTCGAGCTTCATTGCAAGTTTTTGGCTTACGATAAAATGATTCCATACAGCCTTATGAACTTTCCTAAAATTCAATTGATCCATCTATTAATAACAATGGGAGTTTTCCGGAAAACTGTGAGCTAAAAAAGGAAAATAGGATAAAAAGAAACGAACTTCTATTTTCAGCATTTTTGTGTCTTTGCTACTTTTCTTCCGAATCAATTTTAATTCTTCTTCAAATTTCTGGATAACTGGACTGGTCATTCGTTTTATCATATTACCGATATCTGTTTCTAGTTCACACAAATTGGCTATTCCATTATTAAATGCATCTTCCGCTTCCGATTCAATTTTCTTCCTGAAATTTTTTGGAACAACATTAACAATTTAAAAAGATTGTCATTGGATGCCAAATGGACTTCTTTTAATAAAATTCACTTTTGTACCTTTGCTGCATTCGTTCTTTAACTGTCTTTATATTTCTAATGTGTTCATAGATACCGTATTCATTCTTTTGAATTGGTTTTGCTTCTGGATGCTGCTCATCTCTGGAATTGAAACTTCCTTACAGCAATTGTTAAATCGACTTGTAATTTCTGTTTTACAGGTTAGATACTTAACTTTCCTTTATGGTAATCAATATGTTTAGAACTCCAAACGTTTGAATGCGTTATGACAGAAACACACAAGTGTATGTTTTCATCTGCTTTAAACGATAATCTATTCTCATTGGAATCGTTTGCTCTTTCTGCATTCTCCTTAAGCTCTTCACCAACGCCTAGCGTTTTTCGCAGCTCTTCGTATTCTTTCTGAAAATCGTTGTTTCATTTTTTAAAGAATTATTTTGCTTATCCTTGAAAAGTATTACTTTAAGATGTATCTAGTAGTAAAAGTACTACTAGATACATCTTAAAGTAGGAGAGAGGAAAACAGGAACAATATATGGTAGTTATGTTAGGTAGCTACTAGTATCAAATGTTTAGGATATGATAAATTGAAAGTAAGAAGGTTAAGATAAAAAACGAGAAATAAAAACAAATGAGAAAGTCTAAAATGTTAATTAATTTACTTCTAGTTTTTTGCGTATTCTTTTTTTACTTCCGCTGTTTCCCTCATTTGCTTCTATTTGTTTTCTTAGTTCATTGAGTCTAAAATTTTAATGAGTATAAAGGATCTCAGCTCCTGACTTCATGCTACTCAATTCTTAGTTGGTATAAATATCTGCTATGGATAATTTGGCTGGATCTTTCTTAAGATTTAAGAATTCTTGATTTTATCTGCTTGAAAATGTAACGTTCAACCATTCTTTGTTATTTACCTTTTTTCATCTTTTTTCCTATTTTCTTGCAACTTCTGTATCTCTTGTATTAGTTTTTCGTGATCTTCCTGAAAGTGGTGATCATCTGAAATTATAAATATCTTTACGTTTTATCTTTCTCATCTTTTTTCCTACTTTTTTTTTTTTTTTTTAAATATCTGCTATGGACTACTTTACATTTCACTTCAAACTATCTTTTAAATTCTCTAAGATCGCATGATCCTTAGCATTACCAAAAATTTTGTTACGAGAAATTTAATTTTGCGAGAAATTGTGTCAACTCTTTCGGATATTTCGGTCGTGTATTATTGTCATGCCTAACTAGTAGTTCACATCATTCTTTAACTTGAAGTGAAACTTGAGAGGAAAGAATATTCAGTCAAAAATTCTGGAAGCGTGAGTGTTAGGTGGCCTTCAAGCGTGCGCATTTTCGTTGTTGCTGTGGATTTCCTTGTGAAAGCTTTTGAATTTCATCTGATATTCGTTGAAGCTCCCTTTGCTTATACTCAAGTAGTTTCATCAATATATGCTAATGCACCACCACTCCCAACAGTTTGGAAAATGTAGAAATGAATGAAAATGTTATAAGCAATCATCTTTAATTGTTATCTGTTTCACTATTTCACTATCCTTTTTATCACTATTTGCACGTAGTCCAAGATAATTACGAATAGATATTGAAGATTTCTAGCGACTTCGTAGTCTCTTAATTCTGAGTTTTAAAGTGAGACTAACACAACAGTTTTTACATTCAGCGAATTGTATTAAAGATTCAAGATTTTTATGCTATTGTTAATTAATATTTTTCATTTTTTATCACATAGTACAATTTATTTTATAGGACTGCTCAATGAAGTGATTCGATCGTTGCGTCGAAGTGATAAGGATGAGCGGATGGAATGTATCGATTAGCTATGCGCATGCTTGTGCATGTTGCAGATGCACAACATCATGGATGAAAGTATTACAATTGTTGATGATATCAACAAGCGTCGAGAACCATTGCCTATAAGTTCTACCGTTTTGTCTAAATCATTTTTCTTATTTAACTTTCTTAAGAAAAATGATTCAGTGCTTTCACTATCGGTACTGACTTTATGTTGTTTTAATGTGCATATATATAAACAACAACACTATCGAGTAGAAATGAAGACATGTTGTATATGGGACTTTAAGGAAATTATGCTAACCTAATTTTTTTTTGATGCCATTTATTTAATTTCACTTAAGTCTTGATGCTATTTATTTGATTGCTCCAACAAAAGATTCTGTTGAGAAATTGATTGCAGATTTTATCTACAGTCGAAATCAATATCAATGTGCACATGTTTTCTTTACTGAAGATATTTTTATGTGCAACTAAACAAATTTATTGCAGAATTAAACTTTGACATTCACAATTTACTACTGCAAAAGTAAAAATTGATGAATTATTATTTTCTATGTTCGTTTGCAGTAGTTGTACACAGAATACACCTTCAGTTTTCTAGAAAATTATTTTAATTCATATTGGTGCTGCGAATATAGAATATGGATTCTGTTTTTTTTTTTAATATTTCAGTTACGAAGCAGGTGGGAATGCTAGCATTGATAAAGTGGTATTGCTTGATGAAAACGATGACCTCTGGGATCGAAAATCGTCACAAGCTTATCGCTGTTGTTTCTCAAGGAGTTACGAAAGGGTTGAAAAATTTTTCCAAAGGTTTTTTTTTTTCATACATGTTTTTTGCAGTAAACAAGATATAAATTAATATTTTTGGACACCCGTCTAAAAAATATGATTCTCATTAAAGCTCATTTTATTACTATGAACTTCTATTCAGATCTGTCAATGATGATCAAAAAGATGCCACAATATCAGAAAGAACTGAATAAATTCAACACCCATTTTCACTTGGAAGAAGAATGTATGCGCAAGTATCAGCAAGGAATCGATAAACTTTGTAAAGTGGAGCAGGTTTGTAAAGCTTAGTTGAAGCTTCAATCTAAATTTCTATTCCTTATTAGTTTATATGATATATTTATAGGACTTAGCATTGCAAGTTGATGTAAAAGATCCTATAAAGTTAATGGTACCGTTACTGATTGACCCAGTAGTTGAACCACTCGATCGTCTTCGACTTATTTTGCTTTACATTTTGTCAAAAAACGGCTGGTTTTTTTGAAATATTTTATTGCCAAATGTTATTCGCTGCATTTTTTTGAAGAATAAATTTTGGAAAATTTTGAGAAGAGAAAGGATCTTGGGAAAATGATTGTAAATGAGTAACTTGTTGATAATCAAAAAAGCTATGTGACAAGTCCTTCAGTTATTTTTATATATATTTTGTATTAGGCATTACCGAGGAAAGTTTGGATAAATTTCTGCAACATGCGAATGTGGTGGAGAAAGACACACTGGCTAATGCAATGTTTTTGTGTTTGAATATAATTATGGTGAGTTATGAAGTTTATGGATTTTTCATCTAACTAATTAAGGATTCATGCAGTTTGAAAGATCGCTTCCACGATTTCCTTATAATTCTTGAATCTTTAGCAAGGACGCAAACGATTTTGGACACCGAATTGTAAAGAACGTCCCAATGAACAGATTTACCAAACTTCTCGATGGGTTCCGTTTTGAAAGACATTTTGGAAGATGCAATAGAAGATAGACTTGATCATTTTCCTATTCTAGCTGGAGACAGATCATATCAACATATCGACCACCAACAAGGTTTCCTTCTACGTTTTCGAGTGCCTTTGTACTAGTTTTGCTTCGAATCATTCAAAACCACAATTTTATTCATTCACTATCCTTTTTTCCGTAATTGACTGGTTGAAGATATTTATTTCTGCTGTCTTATCTTTACTTTTCTTTTTTCTTTATTGAGTTAATTATTCACTTAGTGCTCGATATGATCAATGGCATAAAGAACATCAGACATCGTATCGCTCGGGACTTCGCTTAGTAGTTTTTGTGGTGGAATAACATATTCAGAGATGAAAGTTGCTTACGAAGTCACCAAAGATAAGAAACCATGGGAAGTTATCATCGGTAAGTTCAAGTGAACTTTCCATTAGATATTAAACCTCAAGTTTGCACATCACTTTCATTTTCTGTTACAGGATCAGATCAGTTAATAAACCCAGCAGCTTTCCTGGAAAATCTTCGTGGATTTGAACAAGTATCGAGATAATTGAAAAAGTGACTCGTTTATTTATAATCATCTTTAATTGTGAAATTTTACTTTATCGTAAAGATTGTTGATAGTTCAGTAAAACATCAGAAACGAAATTAAAACGAAGTTTCCGTTTTGCATACTTCCCACATACTATGTAAATTCATAAAATAATTGTAAAGTATTTATAGTCAAATATGCTTACTAAATGTAGCGAATAGAATACAGTGAAAGATTTGGAGGATAAAGTGCTTCGTCTAAGTAATATTCATGAATGAAAGATTTCGTTCTATGAAATATTGTTAAGAGATTTCGGTGCAGATATTTTCAAATTTTGTTAGTCAAAATATGGTTATGAGTTCATAGCTTTGGATTATAGTTCAAACAGAAGCATAAGATTTTGTTTGTATGGTATATTAAAACTTGATCCAAGTTCAAGCTTTATAACTTCTAAAATTAAAAAAGAAAATAAGCTCGTAAAATCTTCCGACTTTGTATTTTGCAGTATTTTCGAATCTTTCTGCATTTTGCGGTTTTTTTCAAATCTTTCTGCAAAAAATTCCAATCGAATTGTTTATTCTTTACCATTTCATAATACCGCGTCTTTCAAAACATTCGACAACTGAAACAAATTAAAATATTTCAGTTATGAAGGTCACTTAAAATTCAAAGAAAAAAACTTAAAAATAATATGCAGTGCTCAGACTGCTTTATTACAATGAAAACGATGTCTCATTCAAACATATACGGAAACGGATAAAATATAAAATTTTTCATGCTTGCTTAAATTACAAGAAAAATATTCCTAAAAAGTAACAATTAATGATTAAGTGAAAAATTGAATGATAAAAAATTTGAGCAATTTTAGCAAGCAGATCATAAGTTGGTGGTCGTCAAAAAAAGACTGATTTCCGAATGATCATTCCACTCGAGTTATTATTAACGTGAGGCCTGCAAAAAATATTTTGAGAGCGATAATAATTATTATCTATATTACTAATGTTGCATTACAAAAAACATCATTCTAAATAATTGCAGCAAGTTATGCTTCACTATTCGCATTACATTTGCAATCTTGCAATATCAGCGATAAATTTTTGCATTACAAATCTAATAATGAGGAAATTCTAAAATTTCGATAGAATTTAAAATTTAGAAAAACTGACATACACTCATATAAAACCAAAATTTTTCTGTTTTAAATGATTCACTTCATGATGAATTCCTATAGAAGCGAATGTAGTTCTGAAGCATACGATCGAAATTTTTCTTAGAGTCAGACGATGGTGCTTGAAGTTCAAACTGATCGGCTTTTCCTTACTGAAAATAGTAAATTTAAGTTACAAAAACTTTTAATTATCTCAAATTATTTAATTGTTTTCTCTAGAATTAAAAAAAAGGTTAAGAATCAAAAAAAGAATCTTAAAATCTCTAGAATAAAAAAAAAGTTGTGTTAAAAATGCAGCGCATAAAAACCATAAACAAGAGTGAGATAAACCTTCATTAATCTACCATTGAATGAATTTAATTTCCCTAGAAAAAAAAGATGATAGGATATTATGATATGTTATTTATAGATGAATAAATAAATTTATCAAATATTATGATTTAATTTTAGAAAAAAATTAAAAAAATACCTCAAATTCAGCATTGAAAAAATCACCTTGAGCGTATGAAACTGGAAAAAAGGATTCATGACAAATTTTGACAGCTTTAATTACATCTTCGTGACTCCATCGAGTAAAAATAACGCGCCACAATCAACCCGAGATTGTTAATCCATATCGCAAGCAACGCAAAACGTGATTCTGCAATCAATGAAATTCATTGATATTTACAAGCTTCCAACGACTACTTAATAAAACATTCAATAACATATAATTAATTTCCTGGTTTTTTCTCTTAAAAATTTCTTTCATTTAGATATCGAAAATTTCAAAATTCAACCTTAATATAAATATACATTATCAATCTGCCTATTCATTAATGCCAATGATAAATAATATTATAATATTTCATTCCTCACAAAATCTTATGTCATTATACTTCACCTTTCTCGGAAATAAAATTTACTTTTACTCTTGCATCGCCATTTATGTACTCGGGCAAAAATATCCATTGAAATTGACAGAACTGAAGGATTTTGGATGATAATCATTGCCTCATCATCAAATAATGGAAGTAAGTTCTTTAAATCAAACTCGAAATCGAGAAATTCCGAATAAATCACCAAACAACCAATCCAATAAGCAAAACCTAATTTTAGATTATTTAAGAAAAAGCAGACTAAATTTTTTAAAAAATCGCGGCATCATACATAACAATTAATATATTTCATTTTACTTAATTTACAAAATGCAGCGGTATGGTAAACAGTGATAAGAATAGTAGTCTCAAGCTTGAAAATATTTTTGAGATTTGAGATTTGAGTAAGTCTCAAATAATAAATTTTTTTTTTAAATGAGTCGTCAATGAAGGAAGCTTGTATGAAATTATATTTCTATACATAGTTTTAATTGACAATTTAAGAGATAGAAATCTCATAGATAAATGACAAAATTATCTCTTTGAAATATCAACTTATATCATATAGAATTTCACGTCGATTTTTGAAACATTTAAAAAACAAACAAACAAACATCCTTTTCTTTCAACATGTGAAAATCGCTGTAAGTGAACGCAATGATGCAATGTAGAGATCTGAAGTACTTCACATCAATTTTTACTGGTGGTATTGCAACAAAAGTAGCATATGTTTTTTCTTTCCATTCATCCAAATCGGCACATTTTGTTTCACTTACAACTTCACGAATTTTTTTTGTTGGTGTTGGCTATAAAAAAACTGCATACATTTTCTATTGACAAAATTATTTATGATTCAACAGCAAACATTAATTATTCAAATCTTAGTTTAATCTGCCCTACAAGTTAAACTGAGGACTAAGATTTTACAAATTAAACTAAGAAACATGAAAGTAGCATTTATAAAAAATAAGTTATTTTAATATTAAAAAAAATGATATTTTTCAGTTTCAGAATCAATAGGGTAAAATAGAAAAAAAAAAACACTTTCTAAGATCATTTCTATGAATCAAATAGTTTACTAACTTGATTAAAAGCTATCATTACTAATTGAAAGCGATTTCTCCTCAGAAATGAAAAACAAACTAACACTTACTGTTCCATCAGGCAGTTTGTACATAACCTAACAAAAAATTCGATCAGCTTCTTTCATCAAGAAATTTCAAAGCGAATTTTTCAAGATCGCTCGATTGAAATGCAAAAAGAAAAAAAGAGAAGTGAAATTTCTCTCTTCCTCTCTTTCTCCCTCCTTATTTCTTATTAAATTAATCATTAAAAATAATTTTGAATTTGAAAACTATAACGTAATTTCTCTTTAATCTTTCTTTAAGAAAATATTTCATCTGTGAAATTACCTCAAGTTGCTTGTAAAGATTGTATGCGACACCTATCAGTTGAACAAGACTTGAAGTTCCAATTGTTCCAACACCAACTTCAACACATCGATCAATTAAGCCATCATCAATTCGTTCACTTTCATTCCTAATGACTGACGAACCTCACGTTTTATGATACTTAAGCGACATTTCTAAAATGTCATATGTTATTTATTTAACACTTGAATTAATCCTTGTATCAGTTGTCAACAAATAATTAATACTTTATAATTTTTTTTAAATTTTGAATAATAAGAATTAAACTTATCGCTACAAAGAAACAGCATATATAATGATAAATACCTTTACATTGCGCATAATTTAATGTAACACTTCTGTGTACGAAAATCAAATTGTACGAAGATTCGTTACTTTCAAAAATTCAAATTTTAAATCGATATAAAAAAAAAAGGAAAAAAAAAAGACCAAAGATGATGGTTTGAGATGGTTAAGCTGTCGCATTTTAAAATTAAATAATGTCCGGAAATTGAAGACACCTGAAAAAAAAAATGCAATCTAATGAGCTTGGTATGTGAATTTTCTATTTGCAACTTTTCTTTTCTTTGCATTCGAATTGAAATCTTTAAAAGAAATGGTTCTAACTTTGAACATTTACAATCAAAAAAAACATTTAAAATCCAAATCTCAAAATTCCGGAATTATACATTATTTTTACTTTTTTGTTTAGAAGAAATTGAAAAGGACAATAGATTCTCTCTCTCTTCCTCTTTCTCTCCCTCTCACTTCCTCCAATTCTCCTTTGAATCGCTTCATTTACAGATAGAATATACTTATATTTAAGTCTACATAAAATTTGCATCAATTTAGATTTGAATTTAAACTCAAATTTTGTGATAAAGCAAAAGTTAATATTAAAAAGAAAATTAAAGGAAAAGCGAAATAAAATATAAATGGTTTTGAGTGCCAAAACATATAGTCAGAAAAATTTCTCTGTGATGTTTTAGGAATAACCAAAGAATTTTTTTATTATTTATTACTTATACTGTAAATAATTGTAGGGCAAATAATGCCGCGTAAGAAGAACGACATGTTAATTAATACTTCAAGAATGTTGTTATATACTTCATCATTTCTTCGGGAATACATCCCATCTCAAATTCATTCATTTGTTTGTCAGAGCTTATTTCAATTATCTCATTTAGCTTCAAATATTACTCTTCAATCTCATAAGATATAACAGTGTAAAGTGCATATTAATCAAACTTCAAACTAAGAAGCAACTTAATAAATTTCCAATATCCCTTAAAAGATGTGGATAACCCCGAAATCTAACAATACTATCAAGTTGGTATTAAGAGAACTTATCATATGTTTAATCCTTACATTCATTTATTTTAAAAAATTTTGACGCTTTTCGTTTCTCATCATACTAATATTACATTAAATGTCTCTTTCAAGCTTCATTCTGCTAAAATACTGCAATAGCAAACCTAAATCTTACTTCGTCAACCCAATATCTCGCAAACACTATCATAAGGAACTTTTTTACTTCATTTAAACAACCGAACAAATGTAGTATTACAGCAAAAGAAAAGTAATTATATATAAATTCGGACGCAGTTCAGAATTCAGAGGATATCTACAAACAGAGACAAATATTATTCAATAAAAAACTGGAACTCCCGATGTTACAAGAACTGCAGAAAAACAACTCAAACGGCCCATTATTAAAAAATCTAATCTAAAAAAGGAAAAAAAAAAACGACTAGCACAGGATAAAAGACTGCAACATTCAGAAAAATACAAAATCTGTCATTCAGAGAATTTCTTGAAGGTTTGATGTAATTAATGGCAAACTAGATGAAATTTATCATTCAATCCATATTTGATACCTATAATGGCCTCAATGAAAGAATTCAAATATCATCTTACTTTTTCAATACATTTTTAATATGTTGTAATTTACAACCAATGCTGAAACTATTTATTTCATAATCTCTTGCCTTCTTAACTCAAAATTCCAGATATTCAGATTCGAACGCCAAATAATAAGATAAAAAGATGTCATCCAACCATGTTTAATATCATTCATACACTACCATGATAATACTATCTAAGATCAGCTATCCAGTGTTATGCAAAATGTAATATAAAACTGATATAAAGAATTAATTTTAACTGAGCTTCTTTTATAAAAAAACAACGCTTTCAAATCGAGTATAAATGCCTTTACTGTTATGATATCCCAGCATCATCTTCGAAAATTTGAGTAACTTCATCCAATTCCAGCAGTTGTTCATCCATAAATTTCCTGATTCGTTGCATGCAGATTAATGACTTCTGCATTGGGAATGACAACAATTCTTCCGTAAGTCCGCTAACTGGAACATAAAAGAATGCAAATCTTGCCTGAAAATGAATTGGAAAATGCAAAGTCCTATTTTATAAAATGACTTACCAAAAGAATTTATGCGCTTTTGAAAAGCTGCACTTCTTCCAGTACTAAAGGTCCGAGAACGAACACCGCCAGTCATAGGACCCGAATTTTGATGTTTCTGTAACGGCATTAAATACCAGTGATTCACAACTTATTACATAAATGAGGAAATTCATAAAAATGGGAACACTTGAAATTTTAAAAACATACCGGGGATATTCCTTCAAACGATGGGTTGTGCACGCCAGAAAATACTTGTGTATTCCTACCAGCAACATCATTGCGTCCATTTGCTTTTACATCATTTGCTGAAAAAACGTTTTTGATATATCTAGTTCGAATGTTTCACAGTTAAGACAACAGCAAAAAAGAAAAAAAAAAAACAAAATCTTTACTTGAAACTATGTAGTACTGTCAATGAAAATTAAAACCATACCTAACTATGCATTTGTATCCTTAAATAAGATATCGCAGAAAAAAGAGAAATAGAAGTATATCTTTGTAAATGCCTAATTCTTATACTTTAACATTATACACAAACTAACCACTTATGAAACTGCCACAATTCTTAAATAGCTCTTCCAGTTCGTTTACCATATAAACATAAGAAGTGTGAAACAAAAAATACTTGAAGGCAAATTTCCTTATCCCTAAATATATAACTGAGAGAGAACAAAACTTACAGGAAGACATACCAATTGATGAGGAAACACTGCTTTCTTTCCTATACCTCTGCTCATCACTCTCAACAATTCCTAAAACTAGATCAGAAAAATAAACTGCAAATCATATTACTGGCTTTTGCTTTTCTCGAAATATATACAAACTGTACACACCATCATACTCTTCTCCAGCCCCCCCCATACTTCCATCCTGTTCTTCATCGACATAAGTATATGAAACGGTGTTTGAATGAGGCTGTTCTTCTGAACCACAGGCATTTGCAGTAGCCATCATCCTTAGTTCACACAACTGTTTTTTCCTCTGAATAATAAAATCTCGTTGCAAATGGTTTGCAAATGGTACAAATAATTCATTCAGAAAACTAGTTTTTCTGAGAATAGCCGATTGAATAAAGTCATCTCATCATTCAGGTAAACTAGAAACACAAACTCTATAAGCATTTAAACAATATAAAAATAATGGGTCATAACTCATGACTGCTGGAAAAAATTAGACATTCTGCCAATATTTGAGCAGCGTTCAGGAAGCTGCAAAATTACTACTATCCGTCAAAATAAAACGCATACTAACCAAAAAATACTTCAATAGAGAAGAAATAAAGAAAAAAGCTAAATTTTAGATCTAGTTGATTATTATTCAGAGGTATGAAGAAAAATTTTATAATTTTTTTTTCCCCAAATCTTGTAGATAACAATAAAATTATCACATATGCGGAAAAGCTTAAGAACATTTAATAAATTTGGACTGATAAGAAAAGCATCACTCCACTGATCATTTCATATATGCTTAATAAATGAAAAAGAAAAAAAAACTTTTTGAATTTCTTCCCACTCCTTCTGAGTAATTACAGATTCAGAGATATGCCTCGATCTTAGATGCCTCATAAGATTTCCAGAACAAGCGTACGCAACATGTGCACCGCACATTCTACAATCAGCGCTTTTTCGATTACGGGTGAAATAGCGCCAACATGGATGCTCAGTTCCATGCCCGCCTCGTCTTTCGGTACCTTCCTTGGATGATAATGGCTCATCGGCTGCCCGATTAACGGATGATTTTAGCTGTAATTTCATCTGCCACGTCTGTTCAAATTCAGCAGCGATCTGAAGAATGTAATTACTCCTATCAGAAGTTGGTGAGTTAGGAAATTTTAGCATGGAGCAATATTTTTAGTTGGAGCGAGCAATTTACAGCAAGCCTAAAAATTTTTAAAGAGAGATAAAATATTTAGATTGAGCAAAAAATTGTTGAAATTATAATTGTATTTAATAGTTCATCCCATTATAACAATGACTGTAAGCTTTTTATTTTTCTGCTGAAAATTTCAATCCGTTCTTAGTAAAGAAAACATTGTAGTCAACAACTTATGAATGTAAGTACATACTTCACTGCACCTCATAAATTGTTTTTTGATACCATTCATATTTTTTACGCATATTTAATTCATACAGGAACAGATATAAAGATATAAACGCTCTGCAATAATCCCAGAGAGATCAAGAGAAAAAGAGATGATCAAAGCATTATGCCAAACCCTTATTTTAATTTGAGATATGTATCAGTCAGCTCTTTCATTTCTCTCTGTTCTCCAATTTTCGATATGATAATAAAAGATAAAAAGTATACCTGAGGATGACAACTTGTAAAATGATCCATGGCCTTTTGAAGATCGATGGGTTTAATCAGTTGTGCACAGACACGACAAACTATAGAATCGAGATCGTCAGATTTATGTATGTAATCCCAGCATGGATGATCTGAATTATGGGCAGTTCCTGGAATTTCTGATTTGCAGATAATCAGTCATTTAGTGCTATGAAAATAGTGGATGGTATTGAAAAAATACTGCAGGCAATATCTTTTTGCTATATGTACTCCATTAATAGAAAACCTCAAGGTATTAACTCCAAAAGTAAAAAAAAAAAAGCATTCGCAAAAGACAAAAAAGAAGAAGAAAGCGTTTCAACTTTAAATCAAGGGTTTCAAACAAAAAAGGATTTATTTTTTATTTTAAATTGCTTAAGGATAAGCTGTACGTAAAATAATCATAGAATCGAGATAATAATAAAGGAATAAATTAAATGTCAGTTGGCTAGTTGGATCTCTGTCCGAAGATACTACAAATGCGTAAAAATAAAATGAACAATTACAATTGCTGGAATAATGGCAACCAACCATCTTCAGAATTATCGCCTTGACTGGTAAACTGCTGTGATATTATAGCTGATATATCTGCCAAAGCACTGGCAGTCGCCGTCGCCTCCACTAATGCGAATGTTTTCTCTGAGTCTCGTTTGATGATAAATGCAGAAGAATCAATGTTTCGTTGTTGCGACGTGAAACTATTCGGACCAAGATCCATCAAACAGTTTCAAATACTTTAGCGGGCAAGAATTATCGTTGCTATTTTATGAGGACCTTTGTACAGTTAGCATTGCGATCGAGATAACAACCTATGTTTTCTGGAAAATAAAGGGACTGAGGTAAGAAATGCCGCAGCACTGAGAACCACGTTTCGTTCCTATTAGTGACGGAAAATAATTATGACACGAGACTAGAGACATGCAATGTAACAACCCGAAACCTGAACCAATAAAAGCACACTCATAATTGCGGCCCAAATGGTTAGTCAATGTGAAAACCTGCACTCCAACATTAGATCTAGCCTCTTAGGCACAATGGGAGCTGCATTCATAAATTGCCCAAAAGGTTTCGATAAGAAATACCCACAATTGATAAAAAACCACGGAGATCATCTCACTACCCAAGAAAAGCGCTCATCATTCCTCTCTATTTCGTGCACTAATAATTTGAAATTTGATACACACTCTTACAGTCATAATTTAAAACTATTATCAAACAAAAGTGATATCATTCCGGCTCCAATTTTTGCACATTTCAAGCATTACAACAAAAACCAAAAACTTTAGCTACAACAGAAAAATAGATTCGACGGAGGAAACTGGATTACATAAATTCAAAAATCCATACGATCTTGAATGCCACGAAGTTTAAACAAAATTTCGATCGTTGAGAAAAAAAAGTTAAATTACAACAAATACGAAGAAAATATGAAGTATATTTGAGGTATGGTATGTGTAACATGCCATATTTACAACATCTCACTATTAATCAACTTGAAACAATACCGCGATTAAAGGATAAGAAAGCTCCCTTTTGATATTTGACTACAATCATTTCTTTAAGAATTATTAGATGTAATTAAGTGAAAACCGTTCAAAAGACAGCATAATCAGGCACCATGCAATACTATCATAAACAATGCAAGTTTCCACAAAATAATAATATTATCAAAAATGCTTAACTGAACTGTCACAGAGACTCATACAATATTATTAATGATACTATCACTTTTCAAAAGTTCATTTACAATTTTGTGTTCCTAATCAGTTCTCTAACCAGAATTCCTTACTCCAACTTTTCTTGTGTCCGAAAAAGGCAACAGACATATATACAAAATTAGTAAGGACTAAATTATTTCGAATGAATTCAAGAATAAATTAAGTATTTAACATACAAATTACAGCTACATCACATGTGATTTCATTAAAGAATGACTATTAAGTAACATTAGTATCTACTTCCGAATTTTGTATAGTTCCTTCCAGTCCAATCAACTTTTCATCCATATATTTTCGGATTTGACGCATACATAACAAAGATTTTTCCATTGGGAATGATACCAAATCTTCCGTTAATCCGTTTACTGAAGAAACAATACTCGATAGGTTTGAATAGAAATTGGATAAAAAGTATTTATATTTCAAGAAAATCAAACACTGCAGCCTAATCTCTTCCATCTGTTTTTTCTATGAAAATCTACTACTAATTTCTTTTAACTATCTTCTTAGGAGAAAGGCAACTTTGATCCTCACTTATTTAACAAACAAATCATGAAAAATCAAACCCACAGAAAACTATACAAATTACCGAAAAAGGTGATACGTCTTCTAAATGTGTCATTTTTTGTACCCAAAGAGGTCTGTGAAAGCCGTGGCCCTTGTTGCAAACCCTGAAAGTTTAATAAAAAACTTCCTTTTACATGGTGTATTTAATTCTAGTAACTTTTGATAACTCTAACGAACTTTAATGCCAATACTTAATCGAATGTTTAGTAAAGTTACAAAAAGAAAACAAAAATAATGGATGTGTTTGGAATAGAAATCATATAAAATTTATCATATAACAGACGATGCGATATTTCAAAAAGACAAAAAAAAAACTAAGATAAATACTGACAGGTGAAGGTGATTTAGGTGGATTAGATGAAAATCCAATTGACTGCAAAATCTTGTTTGCTGTTTCACTAACATCGGTTATGTTTGTATCACCCGCAATGGAAGGTTCATGTGTTGTGTCGTGTTGCTCAGTAGTTGTCTGACTATCAAAATCATCCAACTTCGAATCAGCCTCTAAAAAGATAAAATTTAAAAACCTAAATTAATAGAATTTTATAAATGAAAACAGCAGATTCTATGATAAAAACGAATCGATAGCGCTTTCATCCTGACTCCTAAAAAGAAAAAGATTTTAGTAAATGTAATAGGCGGAAATGATACCATTTGACGCTGAACCATCATTATCATTCCCACTGCTCTGCTCGAAAAGTTCTACGTTACCTGAAAATAATAACAAAAATGAGGAAAAAAGTAAATCGATTCTTAACAGGAATGAGAAATACATCATTCTTGCCTCTAATTTATCCGGGAATAATTTCAATAACTTACCGTCTTCCTCTCCTTCGCTACCATCTCCAACTAAGCCCTCATCCTGTTCATCTTCATAATCATAAGATAAGAAATTTGATGGTGACTGTTCTTCAGATCCTGATGCATTCGAACTTACTTTTAGCCGTAATTCGCAAAGCTGTTTCTTTCTCTAGAACTAATAAATATGGTCGTATAGTCGACTTGGAAAAAAGTAATCCAATAAATGAAAGCATGTGACAGAATCAATGGATTTCTTATTTATATACAAATCTTTTTGTAAAAAATAATCAAACGACAACATTTCCCGTCTTCATTAATACTTAAAGAATCCTAATACTACAAAAATTCTGATATTTTCTCAAATCACTTACAACAAAATGACATTACTTTAAAAATAACCTTAAGAATTTCTTTCCATTCTCGCTGAGTTACAGCAAATTCTGCAAGATGCCTGGATTTTAAGTGTTTCATCAAATTTCCAGAGCATGCATATGCCACATGAACACCGCACAGTTTACAATTAGAACTCTTTCGATTAATTCGACAGAAATAACGCCAACTAGGATGTTCTGCTGAACGACCACGCCTTTTCCACATGTTTCTATCTAAAAATAAGGTTTAAATTAATAAATTCACCAATGAAGCGGATCAACACATCAATTCCATGATTCCGCTAAGTCAATATAATTTATTAATTATATTTGAATAGCATATGTTTCATTCCTAACAAAATCACAGAGCTGACTTACGAAATAACGAGGTTTCAGTGGATATGCGATTGAAATCAGCTTTGAGTTGCAACTTCATTTGCCATGATTGATCAAGTTCAACAGCAATCTGTAACCACTTATAACATGCATTTATATCAAAATTTATAAAGGTTTATTTAATCACTTCTCCAATATTTAAAAAACCAGTCGTCTGTGTTCTCAAGAAACCAATACTAGCACCAAGTTCACTCACTATTCAGTAGCTAGTTTCCTCTGTTCCGTGGGTTTCGGAAAAAGCAGTTAACCCACCTGTGGATGACAACTGTTAAAATGCTGCATTGCATTCCGGGTATTCAAACATTTTACCACCTTGGAGCATATTCTACAAATCATACAGTTATACTCATCAACTCGCTGCACCAATTCCCAACATGGATGTTCTGCCACACGACCACGCCTTGGTCCTGAGAATTAATTATAAATGACAATAATCATGCCACATTTGAGAATTATAAATAACAGTTAATGTTAACATTATTAACTAACTTTTTTCATTGCATTCAGTCATTCCAAGCCTACAATCACCGTAATTCTTACTCTGCTGCGTTATGAGAGTGGAAATATCAGCAAGAGTATTTGCTGTGGCTGTTGCTTCTGCCATGTCCTGTTCTTGACCATGCAACTCGTCTTTAATATCACTGAACATATTCATGTTCATAATCGTCAGCCTTCGGTTAATTCTAAACCTAAAGCATCAAATGAATAAATATATTATTAAGCAAACACTGAATAATATAACGCTAACGATCTTGCTGATATTATAAAAGCCATGTTTCACTCAATATAAATCGCATCATAAGAATTAACATCAACAGTATCAACTATGATAGCATTGACCAATGACCACCAATATCTGAAATTAAAATTTTTCAATAATGGTAGAGCAAAATAATAGAGAGAAGCAATTGAAGGCAACACTACGGGAACAGCAATTTCCGATAAAACCCAACGCAAGCAAGCGTCCCCTCCAAGCGTACTCCTTCCCTCTCATTTTTATTCAATTTCAATTCAATTTCTCCCAAGCAGAGAGTTTTAAAGAGACACACACACACACATACATGCACATACACACACACACACCCATGCATGCATACATATGCAATTACATATAAATCAGAAATCGATAAAATACATTCAGTTCTTGAGTACAACGCTGCTATATATATACACGCATAAACATACACATATACATATATACACTCCGCACTCCAATACTATGTACTGATATTATTGACGCATGCTGTTTGCAAAACACGACGCTACAAATTATTTGATGCAAAGTAAATGGCGCATTAAATGATGGAATAAAATTAAAATGGAATAGAATAGAACAAAGGGAGGAGTAGAATGGAGATGGAAAAAGTGATGCATTCTATGATGTTAAAAACATCATAATAGTGAGATAGGCATGAAGGAAATGATAAAATGAGGAATAAATCATGAATGAGATGTGAGTGATTAAGTGATATTTTTCAAAAAGTTAAATAAAAGTCCATCGATTTAATTAGAAGAACATGAAGAGTAAATATTATTATGTGAAAGAAAACTGACAGAGAAACAAATATAAATTTGACTTTTTTTGAAAAATTAAATCAGTGGACTTTTACACTTTTTTTATTTTGAATCCATAATAAACAAAATGAGCAGAGCAATATTGATCGCTTAACCGTACTTTATGTTAGATTGTTTCAACAATAGGTTAATCAGTAATATCAGCTGATTAAATGATGACAAAAGTTATCATAATCTTTTGAATGCTTAATCTTCATGACTGTCAAATCACCATTAGTAGAACAGAATGGCTTATAGATGCCATTGTCAAATTCAAACAGAAAACAATTAAATATTTTAACTATATTTAATAATTAACTATATTTATGTCACTTAAACCTTCCATAATAAATAGCAGTTGACATAAATAACTTCGTGTTAATTAGTTTTAGTGTTTTCTTAATTTAGAAGATAAGAATTATCAAGCTGTGTTAATAATTACAATCAGTGGTAACAATCTTATAATCCTTTTTTCTATTGTTATTGGTTTCAAAAATCAGTTTCAACGATCGCTCAAGTCAAAATCAAATTTCAGGTTTCCGAAATCAAAAAAAGACTGAATTTTCGTTTCATTTTGAATTAAGTATTCTATCAGCTATAAATCAGAAACGATTACATCAGATATTGCAATCGGAAAAGTGTCACGGAATGAAGCATGAATTCTCTTTTAAGTTCAAAAACTGATTCAAAAAATTTAAAACATCAAAAAAGAAATCGGAAATAAATAAACAAATGTTTTCATGTTAAGTTAAATTTCAATATTTTCTTATAATCAAATAGAATACAAGCAAACAAAAATTAAACGAATAAATAAACAAAGATGAAAAAGAATCAATATTAAACAAATGCCATGTATTGATTCATTTTTCTTTCATTAGAAAAAAGCTGAATAACTAATAGTTGGTAACAACAATGAGATGACAGTTTCATCGAGCTAAATTAATGTTGAATGTACAGATGTACAATTGCACCTATGATTTGTTATTATTGTAAACATGCAACAAGTGATACGATCATGATTTGCACATAGAAACAATATTGTTTAAATAAATATAATGATAATAAATTATAAATATTGACACATTTTAATTTTCATTTTTGCAGACAGTTAAAAGCTTTCGATTACAAATAATGGAGTGATACTGAAATAAATTGAAGATTTTTAGAATAATGGATCATTTCTGCTACTATAAAACTTTATGGTATTAAGGCATACCATGTTCTTTTCTCAACTTTTATTTTTTTATTTCTCCAATACATTGGCTCTGATATGTTGTCTTTTTCCTAACATGTCTAATTAAACATTTGTTAAAATGCTTAGATCAAACTTTGAAAACAATTTGATGGATTTTAGGAAGGAAAGAAGATAATATATTATATTGTTTTGATAATAATAGAGATAACATGTTAATATATGGTTGGACAATGTGACGACAGTAGTGAACACTAACTGGCTATTGGTTAATGACGGATGAATTGCTATAATATATTGATTCGTGGGATAATGTGACGATGGTGTGACCTTTCAAGTAATTTGTTGTAGATATGTGATTGGGTGTTTTTCAAGTAATTTGTTACAGATATGTGATTGGGTGTCATGAAAATTGTGTTAGATGTTCAATTTGTTCCATACTTCTCTATGATAGATGTTTCGAAAGGAATGGACATTTATGCTGTCATATGCATTATTATGAGTAAACTTTTATTAATTATGGAAAAGAGAATCTTAAATAAAATAACATCGAATAATTTTTTAGTTTAAGTGCAAAGATATCATTAAATTTTACTTCAAACATTAATTGGAATGACTCAGTATTAAAGGATTTTCTTTTTCTATAAATATTTTTATAGCTAATTTATTTAAAATATCTTTTTTTTTTTTTTAATCTTTTTTTTTAATAAGTTAAATTCTTTGGATTTCAAATTACACATTCTATAGGGAACATAGTCCGAATCGATGTGCAAGCTGTCAATAAGATATTATACTAATAGAAATGATCAATAAGCATTTATCATTCTAAATATTTATTTTTCCTTTTTTCTTTTATTTATTTATTTTTATTAAACTTTTAAGACAATAACTGTTGCATACTTTACGTTTATTTTCAAACATTAAGTTTTTTTTAAATGGCATTTTGATAAGTCAATAACTGTTTTTAAGGTGATATATTTTATTAATTTATATTTTATCATATCACTTGTCATCAATGCATTCAGTATAATGAAAGAATATCATAAGGCGAACAAATTTGCATAAATGGAATATCGAAAAGTATTGCATGTATTACTCATACTATTAGCAGCGATGATTGTAAGTTTGCATATGATATTCTGGCACTTGTTTCTAATCGATTCTATTATTTAAATTGCTGTAGCATTAAATAAATTTTAAAATGAGGTGGATTTATGATATGTTAGTCTTTTTTCAAAATGAAAAAAAGAACAGATAAATGAATCTATTCAGTTTCATAGTATTATTATTAAAATAAATATTTGATGTTATGATTTAAAATTCTTTATATTTCAGTATTTAATATTACAACATCAGCTGAAGCATTATGCACATTAGAAACAAATGAAATTACATTTATTTACTGCGCTAATACTAAAGTGTTGAAATTATCAATACAACAAGTTTGTTGAAAATATTGTTAAGGAAATTGGATTCAAATTGCGATTTTTTTGCTTTTTTTTTTTTTTTTTTTTTTCGGAAGTCTTGTAGACAACACAAAATTAGTGCGTATGCGAATAAAACTTAAAAACATTTAATAAATTTTGACTGATAAGAAAAGCATCACTTCATTGATCATTTCACATACTGCTTAAAAATAGAAATACAAAAAAAAAAACCTCTTGAATTTCTTCTCATTCCTTCTGAGTAATTACGGATTCAGGAATACACCTCGATCTTAGATGCCTCATAAGATTTCCAGAGCATGCGTACGCAACACATACACCGAACATTCTACAATCAGCGCTTTGAAATAGCCAACATGGATGCTCAGTTCCATGCCCACCTCTTTCGGAACCTTCCTTGGATGATAATGGCTCATCGGCTGCCCGATTAACGGATGATTCTAGCTGTAATTTTATCTCCCACGTCTGTTCAAATTCAGCAGCGATCTGAAGAACAAGATTTAGTAATTACTCCTATCAGAGGTTTGTGAGTTAGGAAATTTTAGCATGGAGCAATATTTTTAGTTGAAGTGAACAATTTTTTTCGCATATAAAATGAAATAAAAAAATAAATGAATAAAATGAAATAAATATTGATTAGTTGCTTGTTTCAGTTAGACGTACTAAATAGAATGCTCATGTCAACTCCAAAACCATCGAAACATGTGAGACATTAACTCACCAAGTTCTGATAGGAGTAATTACTAAATCTTATTCCTCAGATCGCTGCTGAATTTGAACAGACGTGGCAAATGAAATTACAGCTATAATCATCGGTTAATTGGCCAGCCGATAAGCCATTATCGTCCAAGGAAGGTTTCGAAAGACGAGACGAGCATGGAACCGAACATCCATGTTAGCGATATTTGTCGAAGAAGCGCTAATTGTAGAATGTGCGGTGTATGCTCTGGAAATCTGATGAGGCATTTAAGACTAAGGTATATCCCTGAATTCGTAATTACTCAGAAGGAATGGGAAGAAATTCAAAAAGTTTTTTTTTGCATTTCTATTTTTAAGCAGTATGTGAAATGATCAATGAAGTGATGCTTTTCTTATCAGTCAAAATTTATTAAATGTTTTTAAGTTTTATTCGCATACGCACTAATTTTGTGTTGTCTACAAGACTTCCGAAAAAAAAAAAAAAAAAAAAAAGCAAAAAAATCGCAATTTGAATCCAATTTCCTCAACAATATTTTAACAAACTTGTTGTATTGATAATTTCAACACTTTAGTATTAGCGCAGTAAATAAATGTAATTTCATTTGTTTCTAATGTGCATAATGCTTCAGCTGATGTTGTAATATTAAATACTGAAATATAAAGAATTTTAAATCATAACATCAAATATTTATTTTAATAATAATACTATGAAACTGAATAGATTCATTTATCTGTTCTTTTTTTCATTTTGAAAAAAGACTAACATATCATAAATCCACCTCATTTTAAAATTTATTTAATGCCACAGCAATTTAAATAATAGAATCGATTTGAAACTAGTGCCAGAATATCATATGCAAACTTACAATCATCGCTGCTAATAGTATGAGTAATACATGCAATACTTTTCGATATTCCATTTATGCAAATTTGTTCGCCTTATGATATTCTTTCATTATACTGAATGCATTGATGACAAATGATATGATAAAATATAAAAATAATGAAATATATCACCTTAAAAATTGTTATTGACTTATCAAAATGCCATTTGTCAGACCGATTTTTATTGCACACTAAGTGCTTAAAATAATGCAAATGATTCATTATAAACCGAATTGTTATTTCTTTGTTATATTACATTCTTTTGAAGCAATGAATTTTTATCGAAACCTCAAATAGTAAATGTACATCTGTCTAAAGCACAAATAATAAATGCACATCTTAAAGACAAATTGAACAACAATTACGGTCCATGCCTTAATCGTCTGATAAACCTCATCAAACGATTAAACGAAGAATCAATTCTTGATCGATATGAAACAAGAACAGTTGAGTATAATTGATGAAGTGGGTCCCGACGATAAGGTGGGCATTATTCATTATTTGCTTCATTATGATGTATTAATTCCTAATAAGTCAACTACAAAAATGCGATTATGACGCTTCAGCACATCTTAGAGACTCTAAAAGTTAAATGAAGTATTGTACAGAGGACCTATTTTGATACCGGATCTAGTGGATGTATAAAATGTTTAATAATGATGAAACAGTAATACTAGCTGATATTGAAAAGGCATTTTTACATGTAGAATTACATCCAGAAGACAGAAATTATACTCGATTTTTTTGGTTACATAATTCAAACAAAGATGTAACAGAAGAAAATATAAAATGTTATCGGTTTAGACATATACAACCGTAAATAACAATTTACTGACGTATAATACTCAGACCGTTATTCACATTTCATGGATACATGATACTCAGGCCGTTTTTCACATTTCATGGATATATGATACTTAGACATATACGACCGTAGATAACCATCAACTGACGTATGATACTCAGACAGTTATTCACATTTCATGGAGACATGATGGTATGATACTCAGACCGTTATTCACATTTCATGGATACATGATGGTATGATACTCAGGCCGTTATTCACATTTCATGGATACATGATACTCAGGCCGTTTTACACATTTCATGGATATATGATACTTAGACATATACGACCGTAGATAACAATCAACTGACGTATGATACTCAGACAGTTGTTCACATTTCATGGGTACATGATACTCAGGCCGTTATTCACATTTCATGGTTACATGATGCTCAGACGTTATTCACATTACATGGATACATGATACAGACCGTTATTCACATTTCATGGACACATGATACACAGACCGTTACTCACATTTCATGGATACATGATACTTAGACATATACAACCGTAAATAACAATTAACTGACGTATGATACTCAGACTGCTTTTCACATTTCATGGAGACATGATGGTATGATACTCAGACCGTTATTCACATTCCATGGATACATGATACTCAGGCCGTTTTTCACATTTCATGGATACATGATACTTACACATATACAACCGTAAATAACAATTAACTGACGTATGATACTCAGACAGTTATTCACATTTCATGGATACATGATGGTATGATACTCAGACCGTTATTCACATTTCATGGATACATGATACTTAGACATATACAACCGAAAATAACAATTTACTGACGTATAATACTGAGACCGTTTTTCACATTTCATGGATACATGATACTCAGGCCGTTTTTCACATTTCATGGATACATGATACTTACACATATACAACCGTAAATAACAATTAACTGACGTATGATACTCAGACCGTTATTCACATTTCATAGTTACATGATGCACAGACCGTTATTCACATTTCATGGGTACATGATGGTATGATACTCAGACCGTTATTCACATTTCATGGATACATGATACTCAGGCCGTTATTCACATTTCATGGTTACATGATACTCAGGCCGTTTTTCACATTTCATGGATACATGATACTTACACATATACAACTGTAACTAACAATTAACTGACGTATGATACTCAGACTGTTTTTCACATTTCATGGATACATGATGGTATGATACTCAGACCGTTATTCACATTTCATGGATACATGATACTTACACATATACAACCGTAAATAACAACTAACTGACGTATGATACTCAGACTGTTATTCACATTTCATGGATACATGATGGTATGATACTCAGACCGTTACTCACATTTCATGGATGCATGATGGTATGATACTCAGACCGTTATTCACGTTTCATGGATACATGATACTTAGACATATACAACCGTAAATAACAATTTACTGACGTATAATACTCAGTCCGTTTTTCACATTACATGGATACATGATGCTCAGACCGTTATTCACATTTCATGGTTACGTGATGCTCAGACCGTTATTCACATTTCATGGAGACATGATGGTATGATACTCAGACCGTTATTCACATTTCATGGATACATGATGGTATGATGCTCAGACCGTTATTCACATTTCATGGATACATGGTACTCAGGCCGTTTTTCACATTTCATGGATACATGATACTTAGACATATACAACAGTAAATAACAATTAACTGACGTATGATACTCAGACTGTTTTTCACATTTCATGGATACATGATACTTACACATATACAACCGTAAATAACAACTAACTGACGTATGATACTCAGACTGTTTTTCACATTTCATGGATACATGATACTTACACATATACAACCGTAAATAACAACTAACTGACGTATGATACTCAGACTGCTTTTCACATTTCATGGAGACATGATACTTAGACATATACAATCGTAAATAACAATTGACTGACGTATGATACTCAGACTGTTTTTCACATTTCATAGAGACATGATGGTATGATACTCAGAACGTTATTCACATTTCATGGATACATGATACTTACACATATACAACCGTAAATAACAATTAACTGACGTATGACACTCAGACTGTTTTTCACATTTCATGGATACATGATACTCAGACCGATATTCACATTTCATGGATGCATGATGGTATGATACTCAGACCGTTATTCACGTTTCATGGATACATGATACTTAGACATATACAACCGTAAATAACAATTTACTGACGTATAATACTCAGACCGTATTTCACATTTCATGGATACATGATACTCAGGCCGTTATTCACATTTCATGGTTACATGATGCTCAGACCATTATTCACATTTCATGGATACATGATACTTAGACATATACAATCGTAAATAACAATTAACTGACGTATGATACCTAGACTGTTTTTCACATTTCATGGAGACATGATGGTATGATACTCAGACCGTTATTCACATTTCATGGATACATGATGGTAAGATACTCAGACCGTTATTCACGTTTCATGGATACATGATACTTAAACATATACAACCGTAAAATACAATTTACTGACGTATAATACTCAGACTGTTTTTCACATTTCATGGATACATGATAACTCACACCGTTACTCACATTTCATGGATACATAATACTTAGACATATACGACCGCAGATAACAATTAACTGACGTATGATACTCAGACCGTTATTCACATTTCATGGATGCATGATGGTATGATACTCAGACCGTTATTCACGTTTCATGGATACATGATACTTAGACATATACAACCGTAAATAACAATTTACTGACGTATGATACTCAGACTGTTTTTCACATTTCATAGAGACATGATGGTATGATACTCAGACCGTTATTCACATTTCATGGATACATGATACTTACACATATACAACCGTAAATAACAATTAACTGACATATGATACTCAGACTGTTTTTCACATTTCATGGATACATGATAACTCACACCGTTACTCACATTTCATGGATACATGATACTTAGACATATACAACCGTAAATAACAATTTACTGACGTATGATACCCAGACTGTTTTTCACATTTCATGGAGACATGATGGTATGATACTCAGACCGTTATTCACATTTCATGGATACATGATGGTATGATACTCAGACCGTTATTCACATTTCATGGATACATGATACTCAGGCCCTTTTTCACATTTCATGGATATATGATACTTAGACATATACGACCGTAGATAACAATCAACTGACGTATGATACTCAGACAGTTGTTCACATTTCATGGATACATGATACTCAGGCCGTTGTTCACATTTCATGGATACATGTTACTTAGACATATACAATCGTAAATAACAATCAACTGACGTATGATACTCAGACAGTTGTTCACATTTCATGGATACATGATACTCAGGCCGTTGTTCACATTTCATGGTTACATGATGCTCAGACCGTTATTCACATTTCATGGATACATGATACTTAGACATATACAATCGTAAATAACAATTAACTGACGTATGATACCCAGACTGTTTTTCACATTTCATGGATACATGATGGTATGATACTCAGACCGTTATTCACATTTCATGGATATATGATACTTAGACATATACGACCGTAGATAACAATCAACTAACGTATGATACTCAGACAGTTGTTCACATTTCATGGATACATGATACTCAGGCCGTTGTTCACATTTCATGGATACATGTTACTTAGACATATACAATCGTAAATAACAATCAACTGACGTATGATACTCAGACAGTTGTTCACATTTCATGGATACATGATACTCAGGCCGTTGTTCACATTTCATGGTTACATGATGCTCAGACCGTTATTCACATTTCATGGATACATGATACTTAGACATATACAATCGTAAATAACAATTAACTGACGTATGATACCTAGACTGTTTTTCACATTTCATGGAGATATGATGGTATGATACTCAGACCGTTATTCACATTTCATGGATACATGATACTCAGGCCGTTTTTCACATTTCATGGATATATGAAACTTAGACATATACGACCGTAGATAACAATCAACTGACGTATGATACTCAGACAGTTGTTCACATTACATGGATACATGATACAGACCGTTATTCACATTTCATGGACACATGATACT